GGCCCTGAATAGTTCTAATGAATAAAAATAAATTTCTGCTTTGGAAAAAGTATTAAAAACTGTAACTACATTTAGCCACCTTAAGGGAAATCTGCAGACACCTGCAGGCATGCTTGGCCTATGCTGGAAGAGAGTATATTCTTTGTGCCAAGAGATGATTTCATAATCAAGCTAATGAACACCCTAAACGTGTAGTGACTGGTGTCAGAAGCATATCCTACAATATCCATCACTAATTTTCACCACAGTATCCATAAAGCCATCCATGGGAAAAAAAAAAAAACACACACACACACAAAAACTAGATAATAGACACACATACACATATCTATGGATACAGATATGCATATGCTGTGTAAAGCTGTGGTTCCATATGCCGTACTTTGGAAAGATAAATTATTTTACAGTCATGCCATAATGAATACTGTTTTCAGAGGAGAGGGGAAAAAATGTATACATTTCCATTTTCAAATTCTCAGACTGAATTTCTTTCTTCCTAACCTAAATTGTGCCTGCTGTTAAAGGATAATGTCTGATACAGGATTCAGACAAGTAAGTATTCTTGTGTTAGCCAGTCTCCTCCTTCCTTTTCAGGAAACATTTATTTATAACCAAAACCGCATGCTATGACACATTACCCTTGTATTGGCTATTCAGTATCTGCTTCTTTTTCCCCCCATTCCCTCAGACATCATCATAGAAAAAATAGCTGGGAGTTTTAGTCAGCGCTGTCTTTAACTGCTCCCTTTCCAAATTACATTCATTACCTTTATGTTTCACTTTATAATTGAAGTCTGTGAATGTATATCTGGACAAACTGTGAGAGCTGTATATAACTGAACTTGTAAGCTTTGTGATCTAAATGTCCAAGACAGGCAGAGGACGGAAATGAGTTTAGGCAACAAAGTTGCAAAGATTTATGTGTGTGCTAACTGGAAGCTCTGTGAATAGCCCGGTTGACTTCAGAAGGATTACTTATAGGCCGTGAAGCTAAGCAATCTGCGTAAGTGAGTGCAAAATTGAAACCTTAGATAGACTATAATTGGATTTTGAAAAAGGCTCAGAAATTGAATACACAGCTATAAATCACATATCCTCGAAGAGTTATAAATCACAAAAAAGAATGAAGCATAATTATTTTTCTTAGCAGCTCAGCTGTATATGGGCTAATGAATAGAATAAGATTAATTTTAAATCATCACAGATCATCAAACGTAAAGGTCTCTGAAGCATGTCATATAAATCAAAAGATATGAATCTTTGAAGGCACTCTTTTATTTACTTTCTTGTTACAGCTCTAGCTAAGTGAATTACTTGTGTGACACAGAAAAAGGAATTTTATCAAAAATCAAAGCCAGGTGTAGATCAAAGATATATCCCACAAGTATACCTAATAATTAGGATAGAATCAGTATAAAATGAGTGCCTTTATTCCTAGTCGTATCATTCAGGATATTTAGAGGGGGCACATACTTTGTTTTAATTAGTTGTTTCTTCCCTTGGGTTGCTTGGCCAAAGCCTCCTGATAAGGAAAAAATTGTAGCCATTGGTCAAAACGTTTGTAACGAATCTTGTTTTAAATTGAAGCAATTTATTCAGAAACCAATCTACTCCTGCAGCAGTACTCAATGGTGTTTTCGCTTGGAGCAGAACTGCTCCTGTGCTACTGGAGGACTGTTGTTAATTGCCTGTAACTAAATGATTGCTGCACTTCTGAAGGTAACTCTTTGCCACTCGCTCATTCATTGTGTTTAATGGGACTCCTGTCCCCCCTTAGAGTTAGCCCTGTAGTTTTCCTCTACTTCTTTCCACCTTCAGTCTCCGCTCCTTAAGGAGGGTAAGGTCTGTAATTTGATATAACACAGCGGCTAAATAGATTTTGAAAGGTTTGCACTTTTTGTGTCTCCCCTCTGATGTGGGACTGTGCCAAAATGGAATCTTTTTAGTGCGATGCCACTACAGGAAACTCGAATTTTTGCAGGAAAAGCAGATCACACTTCAAAGAGAGTGTAATGCCTGCTGTAGTAGCAGTGATTGAACTGCAGTGCAAAAGACGGAATAAAGCAGCAGAAAAAACTGCCAGTGTAAAGATAACCTCATACTATCACCCTGCTGTTACACAGTCACTATGTCATTGTTATACACATCACCAGCACCTTCAGCCTTCACAAAGCACCTTTCAGAAGTAATGGAAACTAGAGGCCCGGCTCTTTCTACAGAGGAATCAGAAACATCCTCCCTTATTCAGAATGGGGAAATTGAGGCACGGAAATGTAGAATGACTTTGGGGATCCAACAGGCTGATGCCAGAGGCGGGACCAGTCTCCCCTCCACAGCCTCTTGCAGCCGTCCCATGCAACACGGTGTAACGCTGCTTAAGAACTCCCTGGGGCAGCCCAGGGTGAGTCGGCGTCCCTGTACGGTGCAGTTTAGTGTCCTGCAGAAATACAAACTCGAGGCCAGACGGCCATCAGTGGAGCACAGCACGGTGACCAGGCTGATCTGTCGTGCCTTTCGCAGGGCAGCAGAGACGGGCCTGCACCGGCATCGCTTCTTCAGGGGCTGGATTAGGCGTTTCCACGGGTGGGTGTAAGGGTAGTTCAGTCTGATGTGCTCATCGCTGCATATCTCTGTCTCTGGACCCTGCAAAATAGCACCTGAGACGGAGAGAGAGGGAACGTGCTGATAAACGGGGCCCAGAGCAGAGAAAAACACAAGCCCGCTGCCGTAGATGGATCGTGCGTGTAGCTTACTTCGCAAGCAAAGCTATTTGAGAGAGAACCGTGTTATCCTTGAGCTCCCAAGTGCTCGTGATGGGATTGTCAGGAACACATAAAATGGCAATTTCTAGTACTTTTCAGGGTGACTTAGAGAATTTTGTTGTTTGCTTTGCTTGCCTAGTAGGTTTAGGGCAGCGCCATGTATATTCAGATGCACTATGTTAAAATAAACACATACACAGTCTTGAATTATTCTACTGGGGAAAATGGTACCTATGAGAGACTTTGCTGGCAAAAGTGCTGCTGCTTATGCAGTGCAATAGTCTGATTTCATGCATAGAGAGAGCAGATGACTACATGCAGTTATTTTTTCAATTTAATCTCATAATCATTGATGTTGGAGAAACTTTTGTTTTCCCGTTGTAAAGTTTTTTTTCCTTACCTTTAATGCATCATAACAGCAGGCACATAAATAGAGTATTTTGTGTCTAGCAACCCAACATATTAAATCCCTTTCTCTAGTTACCACTGAACAGCTGCATAACCTGTAGTACCAAATGATAAACAGACTATAGTAAGCCAGTGCAGAGTAATTTCCATTTCCATTTATATTCTAAAATACTGTATTACTTTTCTATGCAAACTAGTTTTTGTTGGGTGTTTTTAATAACATTCCCCTCTCTGGCCCAGAAAAGTATTGAAAGTTTGAAATAACCGTGCTGATCTTAAAAATGTCTAACACAAAGGAGTTTCCAGCACAATTTCAGAGAGAATGACATAGAGTGCAAATGCATTTTTATTTTATTTTATTATGCTTTTAGTGTCTTCTAGAGAGCAATAAAATCTTTTTATAGTTGCGTCAAAATAATAAAAAGTGTGTGGTTCTCGGTAGAAATAGTCAAAATAAATGGAATTGTTACTTTTTCCTCTAACCCTTTATTTCTCTAATTGAATTGTATTGTGCTGGAGTGTCATATCTGCATAACCACAGGAAAACGGGTACTTCAGGGCTACATCACTTCACTGAAACAGAAGCTGCCCACTGGAGGAAGACATTGTAGAAGTAGCATGGAACTGAGCTTTCTCCAGCACAGAACTTTATGAAGCAGAATGTGTATCTTGGATTTCCAAAATCTACTTTCTTGGCATTTTTCAAAACCGAGTGATATTAGAAATGTAAAGGTGGTCTTAACATGTGGTATTTATTACTCATTTCATATTACCACACTGTTAGTAATACCCTGCTTCCTCCCCACACCCTTTCTTTTAACATTGCCGATTCTTAGTTGGTGATTAAATGAAGAGTCACAACCACATGGATGTCATGTAGCTATGTGAGTTTTCCTGAGCGTGCAACTGGTAGAACTGGAGGGATGAAAGCCAATGATTACTTATTAACTGATAAGAGACCCTCTGAGGAGATTATTGTTGTCAGATAGATGCAGCTAACATTTGACTGGTGTCCCTGTCCTCAGGAGCGGAGCTACAGGACAACGACCTTCATCCATCATGCGACTCTCCAGTGGTGGTGTGCAACAAAGACAGGGGGTTCATGCTCTGAGAAAGAATGTCAGAACTGACAAATGGAAATAATATGCAGTGCCTAAACACAAGGCAACCCTGCTTAGGGAAAGTGGGGAGAATAAAGATGAATTGCAGATCAGTTGGAAACCATGTCAAAGATATTAACACATAACTGAGGTGTGAGGCTTTGGGGCTCCTAGGATAGTTTGTCTTCACATCCCTCAAGCTTTTTTATTTTCATTTTGAAAGAAGAAAAATGGAAATCCTTAGTTTAATCTTATACAGTAGACAGAAACTCATCCAAAAAAAACAGAGTTGTTTCTTATGTGTGTGTGGAATAGGGGTGGGGCGGTGTCTGCCTTATAGTCCCCAAAAGAGAAACGCTCATCTCTGATTTCATTGTAAGTGGAATGTCAACATTTATCTGTGTAAAACAAACAATGATATATCTACCGAGAGAGAGGAGGAAGACAGTTATAAAATATCTCTCATGCATATGTACATAATCATGCATACACACACATGCCCAGCAATTGTTATTTTTTAGAAAAGCAATTCAGATAGTGTACCAGAGAAAAAATATTTTTTAAGAGAAAAGAATCCTCTTAATTAGGCATTTCTGCAAGGGTGCTATAAATAAATAAATAACCCAGCATTCAGTATTTCTTCTCAATGTTTGATGTACGTGCTAGGTTTGCAGTTAATCTTTCTCTGGTTTTGAATGTGGTTGTTATTGCATTTTGTAATTCTTTGCAGAGCTGATGTATACAGTTGAGCTTGCTGGTGGGCTTGGTGCTATTCTGCTGCTGCTTGTTTGTTTAGTGACTATCTACAAGTGTTACAAGATAGAGATTATGCTGTTCTACAGGAATCATTTTGGAGCTGAAGAACTAGATGGAGGTAAGGCAGCTTCTCAGTATGTTTTCTACTTTCTAAGTATGCTTGTCTTTCATTTCTCTCCACTAAGGCCCAAATTTCATTCCAGTTCAAGATGTGTTAACAACTGCAATTTTTATTTCTCACTGCATTAAACACAGACTTTAATACACATTCCTCATGCAGCACATTAGCAGCAGAGCTTGCTTAGCTGATGTACGTGCTACTCTGGATCTCCAGGAGATATGCATATCTCTTAGATTTTTACTCCTAACACTGAATGTAAATTACCAACACTGATGCATTAAAGATGTTCACTTCTGGTGGGTACTGAAAGCCAGCTTCACTTCCTCATAAGCATGTGAATGTCGTCTTTAATTGTATTTTCCAAATAGGTGGAGGTTGGAGTGAACTTAGTGCTTCTTTAACCTGACCAGTTTCAATAAGTTGGACTGAGCAAGGGGGGAATACGCCTAGCAGTCTCTTTTCCTGAGTTTATTTACTTACTTAACCATTGAGAGAGCAGCAAACAGCCATTAAAGTTGTTCTGTGGCCATTAAAGTTGTTCTGTGATTCAAGGATACCCATTTGAAACAAAAGCAATCAGCAACATGTACACGAGGTCATGTGAAATGTATACCTGCTTTTTCCTTTCTTCTCTTTTTAACCACTGAAGAGAAAGGTCTTTGCTGTCTCTAATCAGCAGTAACCAAAACTGCTGTTGAGCAGCAAACTGGGTTGAGCTGCACACTGTGATTAATTACTTTGGTGTCTTGGGTCAGAGCTCCTGATGTTTTATGCTACCACTATGTCTTTGGTGACAGGATCTTCTTTTTTCCTGAAATACTGTTGAAAGTTATTTTACAGTTCAAGGTAATAGCCTGTGAGCAGAAGCCACTGTGACGTATTATAATAAATATATACTGATAAACAAGTGCCAGCCAAATCTATCACTGATGAGGGTGAAGGGTGGCAGCAAAATTTCCCATATGTAAGGAAAAGGCTTCGATACTAAGATCACTAGGGAATGACCCACTTCTACCTCCAATATGAAAATGCACAAGGATTTAAAATAGAAAATGTTCAGGACAACAACAACCCCAAGAACATTAGAACATTTTGTATCCCTCTACTGGATTTACAGAATTGCTATGTATTAATATAGCACCTAAGTGGGGAAAAAAATCAGGTTATTCTACTTATTTTACAGAAGATGGAAATGAGGCCCAGAGGGACTGTGACTCATGAAGGATTTTGGCAGATGTCATTTTTTTCAGGAGCTGCAATTCTTTCTCCTCCACTAAGCAACTCCCAATTTAAATGGGCATGCATACTTGCACGCGTGAATTTAATAACACTGATACGCAGAATTAGATGGCTTAATTAATAATTGTTAAAAAAGATGCAATTTAATGTTTTCCCTCTGAGTTTCAGTAATGCTTGCTTTTACAGCTGTAATGTATTGTTAGATCAAATCGTTCCTATTCATTTGCAGACTTACTCTAGCAAATATTATGTACTTGCGTCTCTCTCCTCTCATACCAAACATCAGTGACCTTGGGAAAAAAACACTTCAATTTCCCATTTGAAAACAATAGCAACAACAGAAAAGTAATCTGCAAGTATACTGTGCTGGGATTTAAAAGGAGAAAAAATTGTATCTGTTCAATGTATTCTTCTCAGTAAATTTCATCATTGCAGATGGTAAAGCATGGATTCTCCTTAGAGGAAGGAGTGTAAACACTCATAGTTTGGGTGCGTACTTGCAGTAATATGCCAAGAAAAATACTACTAGCAGATTGCTAATGGAATACTGTGGCTTCTACTGTATTCAATATGCTAACAACAAGGATAAAACTTATTATGCCAATGAAGTTGCTGCAGCTGGAAGTTTTACTCTGAGTGTCTCTTTCACTTATATTCTTGCAAAAGCAAGAAGACAGAGAGAAAGTGCCTCACAGAAGACTAAGCCACAATTTATGTGGAAATAAATTGCAGATACATTCGGGTCCTTTCTTTTGCCTTAGTTTGCTTCTGACAGGCACAAAATGCTGAACTTTACATTCTTCTTCTAACCTAGCCTCCTGCAGTGCAATAGCAGAGTACTCACATGCTATTCATAATTTACATCATGTTCTCTCATACTTCAGGATAGCATGTGGATAAGCAAACATCAAAATACTCATAGGCTTTTTTCCTGCACGCTATATTGTACCCAGAGAGGATTCCAAACACTTTAAAAATGATATCCAATTAAATTTTTTAGTTGAGCATCTCCTTTAAAATGCAACGCTTCATTGCTTCCCTGATCAGAGAACAATCCCTTCAGGATGTCAAATCTCATCACAACTCCTCTTTCCTTTCAAAACCTTAGATGCGTTAGTTTTTCTCAGGCTAACATATGTATTTCTGTGGGTGGCATGGGTACGTTTTGAGAAATATTTGAAAACAAAGTATTTAACCCTTGGTTTTAATATAACTTATTACTTTTGTTGGGGGTACTGCAGATAAGCAAGTGTTCAGAGCTGTTGCTTCCTCATTCGCCTGCCTTGCACCTTGGAATTTCCCATCTTTTTTCTCATCCCAGTGATTAGATTCTCCTTCTGTTTTTTTCTCTCTCCAGCAAACACTTGAGCCCAATCTCGCCTTTATTGTCTGCTGGGAATGTGCATTGAAGCCTATTTTTTTCTTCATGGTTAACTCCCTGCCTTTCCTCCAATATTAAAATGTCATCAAATTCAGCTCTCCTTTTACTACTTTTCTTCCCTCTCTGTGTCCATACGTGCTTTCCAGCTGCTCAGGAAATGACTCCACATCTGGGGAACTGCATGACAGGCATTGTGGTCTTCTTGTGTGTTCAACAACACAACATGCCGGTGTTTAGTTAGCAGTGTTTAGCACTGTGAACATCTGAAGTATCTCCCAAAGAGCTGGAGCACAGAAGCAAATAAAATGCCCTGTCCCCTGGCATTTTCCCCTTCTCACCTGCAGATGTTTGGCATGATCTTGCATCTCAGAGTTATAACCCACCTCCCACCAGTCAGGTGGTCAGAAACTCCCAGATCTGTCTGAGTGGAGAACTTCAAAATGTTCACATGCAAGATATAGATGATACCTTGGAGTGGTGTGCAAACTGTCCAATATTACTCTGAAGACAACAAACCATGATTTTCAGAAATAGAGACTTCACTGGGAACTTCTGAGAGCTGATCATTGTTAAATGTCAGGCTACTTTTTTAGTTTTGCAGCTCTAAATTTTAAAGTCTATTTTAAAGAGCCGCGTCCAAAAAGTATATTCTAAGTACTAACACATTATTAGTGAAAGCCACTTTTAGAAGCTGTGATTTCCTCTGTTCTGTACATTGAGCTCCAACATGAGATATTTTGTATTGCATTCATCCTTTATAAAGGGTTTTGCCAGTTACTATTTATGTAAGGACTTTAGTATTTTTATTTTCCAAGGATCTTCTCTGCTGCCTTCCCCAGTTTTTAAATGATTTAATGAACAAACTAAATAGCATACTTTAACTAACAGAAAAGAATAAAAATACAAGAAGGCATTTCCAAGTACCTGGGACTACCATATGCCGTGACTTCTTTCTGCCTTGCACTCTTTGATCTTAAAAGGCTATTTGTATTAGAAGAGATTATGCCACTATATAGAAATCCACTCTTGGCCTGTGACTGCCTAAAAGGTATGGAAACTTTGCAAGATTTTACCCAGGACAACCTTCTTTTTTGTGAGATTGTTCCTCGTCATCAAATCGTGCAAGGCTCAGTCCTCAAGCATAATGGTCATATCAGACATGCCACAAAGGTAGAAAGAGGAGTCAGATCACTTCTTCAGGCCGCAGGTTTATGATGCTGCCTTAGAATAGCCAGGAGGCTTCAGTTCACTGGGGCAGCTACTTTTAACTTTTTATTTTACATTGAAGACCCAGTGACTTTCAGGGGATGTGCAGCTGTCTGTAAACCAAATTTAAGGTGGATTAAGGATTAAGGATAAATCCAAAAGTCTACAGACCACAGGCTGAAACCCACAGGACCTGGTCAGATAGGCAGAACTACTAAAAATCATAAACTTACATGGGTGTTAATATTCCACATTCCAGTTTCAGAGATAAGAGTGTATGGTACAGCTATCAGCAGAACGAGTCTGCAGACATCATCCCTTGAGTGCATTAGTAACCACTTAAATTGATGCAAGCAGTGTTTCGTCTAAAGGAATTAATAAGCGAGGGCTGAACGCTACCATAAAAAAAAGTTTACACTCAGAGGCTTGCATTAAGATTAATAAGAGCATGAAGAATAAGAAATTATAGAGGAAGGCTGAACAAACACGCTGTGAATACAGTTGTCTAATAAAACTTATATAAAGGTACTTTCTCCTATCTAGGCTGACTGGAAGTAAATTTTAGGCTTAAGAACAAAAAAATTTAGTCAGCTGATAACTCCAACAAGACAGCTTTGCTTAAGGGCTGATAAGATGACTCTCAGAATGACCCTCAGTGCCTTTAGTCCCATCAGAGGTTCCACGATGTTGGATAGGGTGGTGCCCCTTGCGGTCCTGGATCTTGTTCTCAACCTTCCTCGCAAAGGAAACCTGAGCATATTGAGGGAAGAGGGTCTCAGTCTCTATGCAGCCAGGGTAGGCAGCTGGGAGCCAGGGCCATGGAGTGCCTTTCACTTTCAATCCTGCAGGTTGCTTTTTTTTTTTGCACTTTGCTGGAATACAACAAAGCGCTCCTAAAATGTGACAGTGCCGTGTTCTCTGAATCCAGGAAGTCTTCTTCGGTCTTGATTTATGACATCGCTAATGGCTGGCTCTGGGCTGCGCTGGTTGCGCTCTTAAGAGACGCATTACTATTGCTTCGTGAGGGGAACCAAATCAATGGTCAGATTAAAAGATTGATGAGACAGTTTCTGCCTTGAAGACTCTGTTGCAGCTGGGACTCCCTAGGTGATCATGATTTTCCTCCCTACCACTATCTAGCTGCAAAAGACTAGCAGGGTTCACAAACAGT